CTGGCCCAGGTACCTCAGGCTGTAAGTACTAATGCACCTACCTAAGGGCTGTTAACTTGTTTCATGCAATCAATCACCACGAATTGCACAGCTTGATCGGCATGGTAATATTCAACTTAAGGGTTCTGCTAACGTAACCCCAGCCTGCAGGGGTGGAAGCTTGCACATCCCTGTAGGCTGGTCTTTTAAACAAAACCTTATCACATATAAGGATTGTTCTATGTTGTTCTAGCGACCTGTGTTTGGAATACATACATACATATAATCGATCAAAAATGCCAACGTCTCTGGACGATTCATATCAAGGAATAGGAACTGACGGAATTCCCGAAGGACTTTTCCTTGACCAAGGAATCTTCCTTCTGTTCATACTGGATGAGGCACCTTCAACATGCGCATCATCGGGTCCCTTCACCGCTCGACCCGCGTCCATCACATATCAACATTTATTAACCAGAGAAGTACGGAGTAGCTAGTACAATACGATACCTACTACCCGACGCTCCATCCCCAGCGCCCCTGGGCAGTGGGCATCGCAATGTCACGAAGCACGAACATCCAATGTTAAGCAAAATGTGATATTTCGGCGACTCCCTGGTCTGGCATTAGCAAGCGACAGATTGGATATCAAGGACTACTGCATAGTAGACCGCAATCCTTTCGATATTTGGATTAATCTAGGTATGTACTTACATACTATCTCGTGTGTTGACGTCACACCGTCTTGATTTACATAAGGTACCTACTACAATCTACATGCAGGTAGGCAGGCAAACAAACATGTTGCACAGCATCTTTTACACCGACAACAAAGTGTCTTCACCGTTTAGACTACCCGTGCTCTATCGCCAAGAGCTCACTGGTTCACTGGCTCCCATGACTACACCCAGTCGACACCCGTCAAGCCAGCCCCGGTTCTGCTGCCGAAAAGCTAAGTAAGTATCTATCCCTGTAGCCCGCACAGGCTTATCGAAGTTTTCATCTTGACCCTGCCTGCCAGATAGCGACACACACGGACGGACCCATGCAAGATACATACATAAGGTACATACCTACTTAACCCAAATGTGTCTCACAGCAGCAGCATGTTGGTGGCCGTCAATCGCAACCCTAAGGTTAGTACCCAGGGAGGGGTTGGCTGCCGAGCCTTGATAGTACACTTGATGTATAGTGACACCTTGAGCAACGGTTTCCACGTGGCGTCGGGCGTTCCTGGTGCATTTCTGTACAGTGGCACCCACTTATGCATGACGAAGGAGTCATCCCGAGGTTTTATATCCCGTCTTCGGGAGAGCATCCCGCTGCCGCGACTAATCTTAACTGACACCCACCGTTGCTGTTCTTGCCAGTTACGTTGTCGAGGTTGTCAGAGCTCGGACAATTATCTCCCTCGGCCAGCATGGAACCGGCGTATCAGGCTTAATATCTTGTCAAGGTGTATTATCTACTGGCTACGCCTGCTCGAAGCCTCTGCCTGTGCTCCTCGTTATGTAATTCGTGCAAGATAAGATTTCGGATCTTGTTTTATTGGAGGTGGGATTCGAGAACGGTTTGGCTGCCTTGACAGTTGTGCACCTCATATCAAATCACAAAGTTGTTCCTTTCTTCCATGGCTGTCAACCTCCTCACCAAAAGCCTGGCTGCCCGACCACGCCAAAATGGAAGAGCCACCGCATGACTGATTCTTATCTTTGCATCTACTTTGTTTCTTGTGGTCGAGTTGCTGAGGCTCCAAATCTGTCAGCTGCACCGCTACTCGTACCGGCCCACAGTTCACACTACTACAGACTGCTGCACACGAGGGTATTTACTTTGCTTTAATTATCACCCCAGTTGCATCCAACGGTCATGTTACACGTCGAGCACGCTTCTTCAAAAGTATCTCTTGTGGTATCGTTATCACTGAGCTTCTAAAACAGTCCGCCGCCTTGATCCACCACCACCAGTCACGTTGTGATCACCCGCAGCCCCATAATGGTACAACGTACTTTCCAAACGCGTAGCCTTACCCGAAGGTGTAGCTTTGATCCCTAGATCAAGGCCCAAATTCGTTCTTATTGCTTCCCTGAGAGGCCAAGCTTGGATGTGAGGTGCGAAAGTTTGGCTGCTGGCCCCGATTTCTGTAGGCCATCAGAATTCTCAGAAATGTCATCATTCCCAGTGAGCCCAGGGACCCCCTTAAGTTTCTGTGTCTCCTTGACGAACTTGGTCAAATATACTGTTGGTCTTCTCGAAGAATCATTCTGGCCAGACGTGATGTTCTCTATAGCAGTCTCATACGCTCGGTCATACACGTTGAAGTCAACTGCCGTTGGCGAATCGGACACCATATCTGGAGTAGCCTCATTGGAAGCGAACTCGTCCATTGTTCCTGTGCCAATTCCCAAGAATGGGGTGTTGTTTCCCATAGTCTCGTGGATTGGCGGGATTTGTCTGCTTTCATCACTCTTTTGATTCAGAAACTTGCGCCGCTGGTAGAGCAACGCCTCGATCACCTCTGCCTTTGCCCTTTCTTGGGACGCATCGAAGGTACTTTCGGCGCCTTTACGCGGGCTACTGTTAGATCTGGCCCGATGTTTGGCCAGAATGGACTTGAAGCGATGGATGGCTTTCATGACGCAAAGGAGGTGATTCATCTTTCGAGTAAAGGCACGGTTAACCTCAAGCTCATTTGGAGGTTCCACCATGTTGGCACAGTTCTCTTCGGCGGAGAGGAGAGTGTCCGTACCCTGCTTGGTGACCCAGGGATGCTCCTGCTTAAGTGTTAGCTCTGTTGTTTGGGGCGCTTGCAAGGCCTGAACGTCTTACTCGAAGTTTGTCCATGGTTATGCGCTGCTCTGGGTCTTTATTGAGTAGCTTTTGCATTACGTCGGCAAAGTCCGGGTTCTCGTCCTCGGGGATGGAAGGTTCATCGGTCCTGATAGCGTCGTACATGTCCAAGACGCCGTCACGGTTGAATGGAATGCGCCCATACTTGAGGCAGTAGAGTGAAACTCCCATGGACCAGATATCAGCAGCGGTGCCCGACACGTCGCCATGCTTCCCACAAAGTTCAGGGGGAAGAAAGGCGGGCGATCCTGCAGATTTTGCTGTTCTCATGTTTTCAGGTTTTTCAAACATCTCAGAAACTCCAAAATCAACGACCTTGAGCACGTCATCGTCAGATAAGAGCAGGTTATCTGGCTTGATGTCTCTGTGGATGACACCCTGAGCATGAACTGCGCATCATGTCGTTAGCATCTCAGAAAAATTGGGGTTCGAGGTGACTGCTGAACTCACGATACTCAATGGCCAATATAAGGTCTCGGAACCAATAGCGGCAGTTTTCCTCAGGGTAGGGATTGGCGTGTTCGTCAAGGCCGACCTTCATAACGACACCCTTTCGGCACATCTCTAGGACCATATAGATGGAATCTTCCTCGGGGTCGTCAAGGACCTCATAGAGCTGTACTAGATTGGGGTGGTTCAGTTTCTTCATAATGGCAATTTCCTCTCGAATGAGGTGCAGTGCATCATTGGAGTCTTTGACCCGGGGCACTGAATTGAAGGGATCTCGACCGCCAGGGCCCATACGCCTTGGGCCTCGAGGACCCTGCCTGAGGATCGTCGATTGCAGGCGTTTTCTGAGTCGAGCCTTGGAAAATTCTTTTACGGCCTGGAGCTGTGTAAGTCGGAGACGAATTGGGCGGGCGGCTGGCTTGGGGGCACAATACTCACATATTCATTTCCGAATTGGTCCTTTGCAAGGTGGACAGCGCCATAAGAACCTCTGCCGATCTCTTCCAAGATTGTATACTGGTTTACTCGGTGGTGAGAGCAGCCATCGGCATCCTCGTCCCCAAACTGTGTCTGCGCATCGAGAGTTTCCTGTGGAACTGGTCAGCCGAATAAGGCCTTGCTTGATGCTAGCGATAGTTTCGCACCTTGACTTCTCGATGGGCGCTTGGGGTTCTCTTGTGATGCCGGAGAGGACTCGAGAAATGAAGAACTTCTGCTGGTTCCGTCCTTTGTTGATGCGATTGTCAACCGACCCATTGGACGCATTCAAAGATTGAGTAGGCTCTGAGTCTGACTTACAGGTGATGGACGAGTGGTGGGGGAGGTTTATCGCCAGAGGCATCGTCGTGTTGATCGACTCTGACTTGAGGCGAAGGGAAAGTGAACGAGGGTCTCATCTCTGGATGAGTTGCTGCGTCCATTGTCAAGGAAGACTGATATGCAATGCGATGCGCTGCGCCCAGATAAAGATATGAGGTCGGGCGGATTGGAGTTGATCAAACCGAACTCGATCGACTAATCAGTCAGTGATGTTGCCCCGCACCCCGCGGTAAACTAATATACTATATACCTACCTAGTAGTTCAACGGGAATTGTTTTCTCTGACAAGGCAAGGCAGTACCTTACCTTAAGACACACCTTGGGTACTAATGTAAGTAGGTATGTTCTCTGATTGAAAATGGTTCCAAGAGGAAGAAGAGAAGCGCGACAGACAAAAATTGGGCTCAACGAGTGATTCTTAGTGCCATGTGATATCATTTGGGTAGAGGTAACTAACTTACCGGGCAGTCAGAGGTTGGCTGAGCCAGCTGCTTACAGGGGGACCGAACACCTGCAGTCAGCCTGGGGCCATCAGGGCCTACCCCGCCTAAGCTCTTCACTAAACTTCAATAGGCACAGGCGCCACAGTTAGTTACTCAGGTAAGGCTTGAAGGCGGTACCTAGGTTCCATCATACCTTAGGTACTAACGTTGGTCTTGACCTCCAGTTCCCTCCCGTCTACACCAAAACAATTCGTCGCAACACATCGCAATCCCTCAGCTTCGACATCTGTCTCTAGGCTCCCATCCTTGACCAACGACATCTATGCACCACTGCCGCGAATTCGAATCTGAACCAACACGAGATATACCTGTCTGCCAACTTCTTCAAGCAATACCTACCCAAGTCTATCACTGCCTGCTGAGCTTACACGTCGACCCGAACCCCCTTGAATCCCCATCATGGTTGTCTATTCATTCCACATCTTCGACCGACACAGTGAGCAAATTCCCTTGCCTTTCCCCCCTGGACCTCCCGCTTAACCGCCTTCTTCTCTCTTTCAGCCGAATGCGTCTACTCCAAGTCCTGGCTTCCGCCATCAGCGGGCTCTGAAACCGCTGCTCCGAGCACATCCTCCGATGATGCAAAGCTCCTATTCGGCACCGTCTTCTCCCTTCGAAATATGGTCCGTAAGCTCGGCGGCGATGACGACGCATTTATCAGCTACCGTACTTCTCAGTATAAGCTACACTTTTACGAAACACCCGCCAACTTGAGATTTGTTATCCTCACCGACACAGCGACCTTGAGCATGCGCAATGTGCTACACCAAATTTACATAAACTTATGGGTGGAATATGGTGTGGTTTATGAGCCAGGAAGAGTGTAACGTCTGAGCTAACCTTCTCTGTAGTGGTCAAGAACCCTCTGGCGCCTGTGGAACACAAAAATGGCGATGGTGTCAAGAACGAGCTTTTTGAGCTGGGCCTTGATCAGTTCATCAGGGGCTTGATGTGAGCGGGAGGAGCAAGAATAATCAGCACTTTTCAAAGCCTTACCTTTGAGAATACCACCTACGACCACGGGGCCTTTAAGATGGGGAAACAAACTCACGTCCCTCCAGTCAGTCTAGATGCTGCACTCCCAGGCATGACCTAAGGGCTGCAGGCATGAAGGAGGTGTATCTACTGTTCTCACTGTCACCGGGAGAATAACTCAAACACAAGAACACGGACTCGTGTTTGCCCGGCTCCGAGTAGGATGACGGTTTCGGCATGGCAGCGCAATTCCGTTCCAGAAGCCCGGGAACGTCCCTCACGTTCGGCTCAGGAGGCATGCGGAAGTAGAGAGGAGATAAGACTACACCCAATGCCATTTCCGGCATCAATATTACACGAGGGGGGTTGTTCAACCAAATCCCTCGGACTCGACTGAACTATACAAACACCATATAATCGCCTCTAAATAACTAACATATGACATTCGTTTGTGTCTTCAATAGCCCAGTTACTTCTCAACATTATGCTGCTCCTTTCCATGTAACAATCCCGCCATGACCCCCAAAGTTATGTAGCAACACAACAAACACAGCAAACACAGCTAGAATGTATACTCCTCACGACTTGTCATCCACTGCTCGCCCCCATGCGCTCTCGAAGCCCCCCTGAGGGTCTACCACAACCAGGCTTGATTCGCCTTGTGCACCTTGTGTCTGTGTCTGAGTCTGTGGTTGCGATGCCTTGGTGACACCAGCTGTCTGCGAAGCGCCAAGATCAACAGCACTGGCCATCAGGTCATCATCTGTGCGAATTTCCTGCTCCCAATTACTTGAATACACGACAGCAGCAAAAGCCTCCAGATCACGGACAGTCTCCATCTTCTGGAGGTATTCGTTAGGCATTCCGTCGCCAATGACATGTGCCTGACGTGTCAACACCGACAGGATCTTTGGCAGTAGAATCACCTTTGAGCGCTGCTGATCCTTGAGTTCAGGAGTGACGATACCATCTGAGGCCGGGAGTTCAAACGCGGCTGTGGCGAGCTTATTATCAATGAGATAAGAGAAACCTGCGTCGAGGAGAAGAGTGAGGACGTGCGTGAAACTGGGTGATTCGATGAGGTCGGCTGTCTCGTCAAGCAGCCGTCTCAGGATTGCCTGTGACGCGTGTGTTGACTGTTCGCCACCCTGATTGGATGTCTCGTCGAGGATGCCCGACTCTCGAATCACTTCGTCCTCCATGCCCCGGGGTGGGAGGAGAAAGTTGAGCCAGTCTGGCTTCTGACGCTCCTCCTTGGTAGAACCTTCGACAAGCTTCCTCACCTCAGTCGTCAACTCGGAGAACCTCTCAAAGCTCAGGAGATCCCTAGGGCTCAGGCTGCCAAAGACGGTGCGCACGGCGCTCTCTACTCGGTGCATCAAGTCCACCCATCCTTTGTTCAGTAGCCACCAACTGAAGGTCAGGTACTTGCGGTTTATGTCGAAGTCACTGCCATACGTCTGTTCTGTGTTGTCGTCATCGTTGTTCTCGAGACTGATGGTGCCTTGTTGGCCACCTGTTGCGAGGGCCACCACGCTCGATAGATAACTTCTTCGGCCAAGGAGGTTGAGTTGGACGCGAGTTAGCATTGTAAGAAGCGCAAGGGTATATATCAAAGTAAAAGACCGCGTCACCGCTGCAGTGTGTGTTAGTTCTGTGCAGAGAAGAAGAAGAGCAAGGCTGTTACTCGCCGCTGATGGTCACGTCATCCCATAGTTGTCGCTTCGTCTTGCGAGGCTTCAGTGCCTCCTTGTTCGCTTCGCCACCGGCGTTGAATGGTGAAGATGTAGGGACCTGGCTGGACTGTGCACCGCTCTCGCTCTGGCCAGCCATACTCTTCCCATCGTCCTCTGTCAATGTAGTGTCTGCGATGCTGGGCGGGGCTGCAGATTCGGGGCCACCGTTCTTTATAGCCTTGGTGGCTTTCATCTGCTGAATCTCAAATGTGATCTGTTCCGTGTTCATGGCTTCGAGGATGGCAGTCGTGGCGGAGGGCAGGAGAGCCAGTACGGTGAATGTGCAGTCCTCCTGATTCTGTTCGAAGCGACGTCGCAGACTGTGTCATGGGTTGTTAGTATGTGTTTGTGTGTTGCTGCTATCAGATGGGTGATGGTTACTTCTCCTTGGCGATGCGGTCGCTGCTCATGCGCTCACGGGCATCATTAAGCTTTCCAATGACATATTGCGTCGCGACATAACCGGCACCGATGACGCCCACGCCGACAGCAATAGGCGTACGATTGTTGCGCAGCCAGCGCCGAGCAGATGTGAACATAATTTGAAGATAATGGAAGATACGCGATAGGGGAAACGGTGATCAATTATTCATAAGTTGTAACTGTACGTAAAGTATACCGATCGATTCACCGAGGCAAAGGGTACCACTGCGTGAGCATGTGGACGTTAAGAAGCCGTTAAGAGTTCGGGTTCGGTCTGGGAGCTTCTCGTTGGGGTAAGGTTGGAGTTAGGAGAGTTTAAAAAAAAGGTTCAGGGTTGGATGTCAGTGCCAGTGCCAACATGAGCCCGAGCCTCGGCCCCGAATATGGATGGAGGCTTTGATAATATACCTTTAACTACCCCGTGGTCGGAGTCGGTAGACGTGGCCGAGGTGGAGGTGGAGGTGGAGGTTACGCGATCGATGAAATGAAATGTGGCTGGTGATATAGAGGATCTATCTCCTGTGTGGCTGTGCTGAGCTGGGCTGCGGCATGGGGTAGGTGGGGACCATCTAAACCGAACGATCCCATGCCCCTCCCTTTTACATATGGTTCTCGGTTCTCACTTCCCAGTGACGTTGTTTCATTTAGAGAGTCATTACCTAGGTAGGTACCTACCTATCCTAGTACTTTACTTATCTCCTTCTTCAAGTCCTGTCTCCTCAACCATGATCATAGCCCACAATCGACTCTACAACAGCACCGATAATATGGACCAACAAGAACCACCAGAGTTTATCCTTGACATATTCGCCGACCCACGCTCGGTTCGTGAGGTAGTCAAAGGCAAGTTTGACTCTGCTTGCTTGTTCTCTTGGTCGTCATCCTACCCTGGACATCCACCCCGCTATACTTGTGACGACAAAGAAGTGACGATGTTCTCAAAATCACCATGAATACGCCTCGTTAACATACATGCCTTCTCACAGGAATACTGCATACCATATTTTTCAACCGATTCTTCCCTTCCATCGTCCCACAAACCCGCGAGGTCCTTGACACGACGCTTCCCTATGTTGACGACGACGAGCTTGAGACTATGATAGATCAGCGCGTCGCAGCTCTTGAGCGTCAGATCGATGTCCAGCGCTCATCAGGCGGTGCTAACAGCGCCAGCACCGGAAGCGGTAACGGTGGGCGTGGTCAGCTTGTTGTCCAGTTTTTCGAGAAACGTCGTCGCAAAGCCTGGCTGTCCCGTGGCGACGAAGAGGTTTGTTGGGAGTGTTGGACCATCAAAGTTACTGTCGCCGAGCCAAGAACAGAGAGTGGTATGAACCTCCTCCGCGCTCTAAATAAAGGAATTGCTAATACGTGGTTTAGAACGTGCCAAAGTTCGACGAGCAATGGAGCAGACCCTATCAGCAACAGCGATGAAGATCGTCGCATTCGTTAATACACACAAAGATCACATACCGCCCATCACAACCCAGGGTACTAACCCGTTCCCCTACAAGATCAACATTGATCAAAAAGAGGCGGCAGGTTGGGCAACACGGATGCGTATATACTGAATGGTGAGCTCAGAAGAGTTTCACAGCCCCAATACTGTTGCGAGCTTGTGGCGCTTATATTCCCTCAACCTTGCGGTACCTTTGCAGAAACATTTTCCTCTGGGACACGGTAAATGGAGGGCTTGCTGGATAGCTTGCAGAATTCAGGTGCTGACCGGGCTTGGTGAATGGTATAGAAAATTCATTCATCTTGGATGAATAGATCAAAGGCGTTTAAGGAGTCACGACTAATAACCAGTATACATAGGTCATTCATAATTGATACCCTTCCCAACAACATGACGGACGACTCTTATGGCTGCCAGTGACACACGACGAGAAATGCCTCCGCCAAAAAGAAGCCCAGAGCGGGAGTCTCAGCCACTCGTGCATTACCCGAACCAAACACGGGATAATGGCTGGTCGAGATGCCTGGAGAGGCCAGATCTGATTCACCTGATAGTAAGTCACAGCCAGGCACACAATATTGACTTGCATCAGCGTAGTAAATGTTAATAAGCACTGTTATTGAGGCCAAAATGTAAATAATAACTACCATACGTGGTCGAATGTCCAGACCGTCCCTTTCATTTTCCTGCCCTTCCCTATTCTTTCCATTCCCGAAAACCAAAGCAAGCAAACCCCCCCTAAAACCGAGAACATGTAATATGCGCGCAATACCATTCATCATTCCTCCCAGAGAACCATCCAAACTCCTGGCGAAGAATAACATAGCATAAACAGGTAAAGGGAAACGCAACCAGGAAAAACACATCACACAAAATTGCTATCCAGCATCCCAAGCCTTGTGAGCGAGTAGAACGCGCCCCAAAGTCATTATCGTCATCAACTGCTAGCTGTGAAGCTATCCGAGCACTCGACTGATGCCGAGTCTCTCTGTTCTAGTCCATACCAGACACGACCCAGCATATACAAGCCACAATCAGGCTTCGTATATAGGTCAGTTCTCGAAGGAATTGTTATGTTTTTATATTCTTTCGTCAAATCATGAATGTCATACACGTTTCTGCTTATTTCGTCATCTTGCCACGTTCGTTCCCCGTGTCGTCTTGGTTTTAAAATTGAGTCGTATAGCTTCGCGGTAACCCGGGCTTGTTGCTCCGTGGGAGATTTCTGCTGTTGTTCTGTGATGTGGATCCAATCTTGTCAAAACCCTTAAAAATGTCGAGCTCAGGCATATCTGTAATGCTGCCAGCGTTGGGGCGGGCAAAGTCCAGTTGGTCCATCATAGCCCCCGAAGTCCAGTCATTGGGGTCCAAGGAAACGTTCAGGAAGTCGGCAAACTTTGTGGACTGATTTCGCAAAGGGGATTCTTGGAACATCTTGCTTGGGGAGCTCAGGCCCTCGAATGCCTTGCTCGGGGTATCGAACTGCATAGACTGCTCAGGTGGTCGTAGGAGCGGAGCAGAGGCGATGGGCTTTCTGGCAGCGGAGTTGGTGATATCACCAAGAACTGATGCGGAAACAGTTCGATCCAGACGGGTACGTTTCGCGGGACGCTTCATAGGAGACCCAGCCTCAACGGAGCTCATGATAGGGAAAGTACCGTCTTCGAGGCAACCCATACCAGTCAAGTCCTGATTCATAGAGAACTCTCCATCACTAAGGATACTCACACCGAAGTTGGACGGACAGAAGTCGTTGCCTAAGTAGAAAGCTGGGCTATAAGGAATGTTCTCAGCGTCGCCTTTCCTATCGGGTGACTGGAGCATGTTCCGGACCGCATCGCGGTGAAGTCGAAGGTTGGTGTTTGGAGACGCCGATGGAGGTGGTCGAGCAGGAGGGTTGAGTTTGACCATAGGAGTAATCGGTGGCAGCATCTGCTTGTCGTACGCTGGTCGGAGAGGAGACGAAGAGACAGGTGGAATGGCGGAATAGAATCGTGGCTTGGTTGGGCTAAAAGGAGATGATTTCCGAATACGGGCGATCTCCTCCTCCGCACGGCCCCTCGACTTGTTTCGAGGGCGGTCAGCCTCAGATGTCAGTATGTGCTTTTGGCTAGGCCTGATAACGGATGACATCTCAACAGAAGAATAGTAACCGCTGTCGTCCATGGATGCGAACTTGCGCTTGTGAGACCGTGAGACAGATGAAGCAATGTTTCGAGAGACGGGAGGCGGCGTGTTACTTCGATGATCCACATGCCGAGAGACAGGTGGTGACGAGTGTATGGCGGCAGGCAGGGGCGAGTAGAGATATGAGTCGAGAGCGAGTTCTTGGTCTGTCTTGTCGGCAGCATCCTCGGGACCCAGGTTGTCAGAGACAGGAATAGTAGCGTCAGACGAGAGATCGACTGGCATTGACATGGTGGCCTGGGAGGTAGGAAGAGGTGGCAGAGCCGGCTGGCAGGTTGGAGCAGGGGGTGGTAGCGTAGGTTCCTGAGTCGGTGCCGAAGCCGGCCGGGAAGGCTCGAGTCGAGTCGATATGAGGTGAAGGCTCTCGGATGCGGAGGCGGACTTGCGAGTCGGTTTCTTGTTCAGGTACTGTGCTTCGTGGCCGGGCTTGATCACCCAGTAGTGGCCTTTGCCAGGGTCATCCTTAGGTCTCTCGATCTTCACAAAAGCCTTCTGGAGACTGAGGTTGTGGCGAATGCTGTTTTGCCAGCCAGCATCAGTAGGGCTATAAAAGGAGTAGTTGTCGCTGATCCACTTGTAAATCTGAGCAAGTGTCAGTCGTCGGTTGGGGGATCGGAATATGGCCATGGCAATCAGGTCAGCGTAGCTGAGGGCAGGTTTGTTGCCATCATCGACAATTGGAGGGAAACTGTCGTGGGGAGGAATAATTGTTGTCGCCTCTGTCTCTGTTTCAGGCTCTGTCGCTGGCACTGGCTCAGCCTTTGTCTTCTTGGCAGGCCTAAATTCCTTGATGGGAGCAGCCTCCATGAGAGCTCGCTTGCCATTTGGCTTCTGATAGTAGTTGCTGACCGACGAATCTATCACAGGAGGTGCCGGGAAGAGCTGAGGGTGGACGTTCTCCTTTCCGTAATCCCAGGTCATGTCAAAACCTTGCTTTTGAGGCACGGTCTTAAAGTTCGACAGGTAAGGCTTCTTTTGCAACGAATCTGTGGTATGGCCTCGCCTGGATGGAGGCGCCATCGCGACCATGTTTAGTTTGTTGCCGTGGGCCGAGGCCAGTGGGATTTGCGAAGCGGAGGAAGGCCTTTGCTTGAAGGGCGAGTGCGCATTGTGAGAGGCGTTGGGCGGGTTGAAAACGACGTTTGAGGTTGAGCTGGTCAAGGGCCTTCGGGCTTGCTTTGGGCCAGAGGGCATAGGAGCGTGACTGGTCATTGGGGTGACATTCTCTGGCATGTCGTCCTGGAATATTTGTAGCGGCCCAGTGGAACTGGGAAAACGCGTGTGTTTGCCCATGTCGATCGAGTCACGAAGCTCGATATCGGGTCAATGGGACTGTGGTACTGCGCAAAATGGTTGAACCAAACGCTGTACTATAAATCAAGGTTAGTCAGTCGATGCCGGGGACGGAAAGTGGAAGAGATGACGGTAAGATAACGGGCGAAGGTGGGAGTTAAAGTGTGGGCACCGGCAGAGCCTAATGGGACGAGTGTGCATGACGGACGGCAAGGAAGAGGGAGAGGGAAAGAAAAGGACGTCCGACTGACTTGGATGGAGCGTGGAGTTCAAGGTACGTAGTAATGAGCTGTGGGGCTGCTTTGACAGGGCTGTCGTGACTTGGTCGGAGCGTTCAATAGGACGAGCAGCCGGTATCTGGGGTTCGTTCGTTCACGGTCTCTGGGAGTTGCCCCGATTATAGAAGCGACTTTGGTGCGCAGGAATGAAGATGACCAGGCCGCGTTGACGAAGAAATATCAGCAGATCAAAGCGGTTTAGAGTATTGTCGCAAATGAGTCAAGACTGGCTCGGTTGGCGGACTGTCGAGAGGGGGAAGCTGATGATTAAAGAGCAAATCGTGAACCAGGATAGGTAGGGTCGACAATTAACCAGGCGCAGATATGTAGGAGCGGTAAAGGCTACCTAGTAAAGGGTAGTGTAGTGAGTAGTCACCGATTACTCTCTATTAATGCCGATGAATTCTGACTGAGCCGGAATAGCGAAAATAATCTCTAGAAAATGAGGAAGAGCAGAAAATGAAGAAAGGAAGAGTGAGGGTGAAAGTGCGAGTAGGAGAGGAAATGGAGGTTGATTGTTGAATGATGCAGCCAAGACGAGGTGCAAGGTGTGGTGCTCAAGATTAGTGTACTGCAACGCGCCCTGCAGTACAAGTGCAGGTGAATGCGGGCGAGAAGGGAGCCTAGGAGAGAGATGGAAAGAGAGGGGAAAAAAAAAAAAAGAATAGGGCCCCGGCGCAGCAATTGGCAGCAGCTGGCTTGCGGAGGCGTCTTGGGACCTGCTGGAGACGGGGACTAGGCCGTCTCTCAGTGGGCGCTGTACCGCGTATGGCTGCACCTGTGGCCGCTGTGTGTGAGGCCTGGTGGGGACCAGGCGCAGGGAGGATGATGAGAACAGCGACAGGGATTGGATGGAGAGCGCCCGGGCTGACACGACACGACAGGAAGAGCGCGAGCGAGCGAGAGAGCTAAAGATGGGACTCTACGTGAGCACTGTCTCTGCTCTGCCTTGGTATCAAGATTGGATGGGCGGATATTAATCGAAATCGATCAGTTCGGGCAGAGCGAGACTGATGTCATGGGCTTTAATCGAATAGGGCCTGATTGAACTCGGACCTCTTTTGTCTCGCTCGCATGAAGTCGCAGTAATGAGTATCCCGGGCCGAGAAAAGAGGATGAGAACAGGAGGGGAAGAGATGTGAGAGAAGAAGTCGAGGTGCACAGCAGACCAGACCAGACCATAGCACAGCGCAGCACAGTACAGTGCAGCACACAGCGCATCGATTCAATTCGATAGGCAAGGTAGGTTGCGATAACCAAGTAAAAGCAAGGGTGTGTCTAAATCGAGGGCGTGCGTGTTTCGGGAATGGGCGATTGAGAGAGCTAAGAAAGATCCAACCGACCAAAGGGAGAGAGTGTCAAGGTGAGGTGAGGTGTGGGCCGCTGGAAAACTAGGTATCTACTGTACCAGGTAGGGGCGTGAGGATGTAGGGATCTTAGGTAACCCTCCACTAGCGTTACCTTAACAAGGACCGTGAAAGTCCCATTTCCATTCCCATTTCAACAGCGGATGCATCATCAGGCGCCCTCATCCTCGGCCTCGACGCGCGCGGGGATTGATGAGAAACGATTGGCCAGTCTGATTCTCTAACAGCCACGAGATTGACATGATTGCATTGCACCACTGACTGAGTTGAACGCGGGGGGGTTTGTATTGGGTGTTTGGCTGTCGACAAAGAGACAAAAAAGAGACAGAAGCCCTCCTTGCTTCTCTGCCTCGAGTCAACTAAGAGTGCACAAGTCAGATTCATGATGAGACATCCACTCGTCTCGAGGTGAGATGAGGTCGCGCAATAGGCTATGATTACGGATTGGAGGACACCGAAATGAAGATATCTCCTCAGAACTTATGCGGTCACATTGTTCAGCCAGGCTGTTGATCATGCTATTCAAGGCCTTGGTGTTTGAGCCTGGCACTACGAAACTTGGTACTAGGGATTTGACTACTGACCTAGGTATGTACCTATGTAAGTAAGGCAGTGGAGACGGCACCCAGCAGATCTCGATCTTGTTATCGGAGTCTCTGTACGTGCTCCGTATTCACGGCCCAATGTGCAGGTGCAGTGCCTGTGCCTGTGCCTGTTGCGTTCCGTCTCTGCCGTATCAGAAAAGTGGTGCATCCAAGATTTTCAGATTTGGATGCGAAGCGAATATGTCGTGCTCTGCCCGATGCGTCGTGCTGTGCTGTGCTGTTGTTGGTGTTGGTGGTGATATTAGTGGTGGTGGTGCTGTGAGGTGCTTCAGGATCAGACGCTGGGATTGTGTATGGTGCCGATCCTACCTGGACCTGAAAGTCTGTATGTCTTGTCAGATAAATTTGGGGGATGGGACAGAAACGGGCACAAGAATCGAGGGGCTTTTAGTGATACAGCTTAATAAAGGCAGACAACTGACATTACATTGACTAGGTATTGTAGCTTCCGTGAAATATATTTCTCTTCTTCTTCTTCTTCTTCTTCTTCTTGCTGAAATACCTTTGAAATCGACAAGCAGGTCAGTACCTATACCTTGTGGTAGTTAGGTCGAAGAAAAAGGAAAAGCTCATCAGATAGACGAGACGCCATGCCACGCCATGCTATACCGTAAAGAGAACAGCCAGCCAGCCACAGTTGGAAGCAGAAAAGGTCTAACGTTAGAGGTGCCGAGAGCTATTGAATTGACTACGCCTCTTTGCTCATCAATGCCTTCCTCTGTCTTTGTTCGAATTTTATCAACGTTTTTCTCCTCTCCCCTCCTCCTCAAGCTCCTCTTCCATGCCGCGATACCTGGTACCTACTGAGATACCTTTGTAGACATGTATGCACGTATGTACGTTTTGTAGATATGCGTTTCCCCCCCACGATGGTTGATTGATTAATGGATGGATGGATGGATGAATAACACCCCCTCTGAACCCCGTGGTTCCGAGCAGGGTTCCTTAGAAGATGATTGGCCTTGTGCTTGTCGAGGAGGCATACATAAATGGGTGGAATGCTTCGCTTGGCAAAATCAAAAGGCCGAGTCACGTCAAAAGTCCAGCCATAGGCAAACCGTTGAATACCTACATATAGTAGAGTATCTATGTACGAGTAGAGTGCTAAGGTAGCATAAAACGGCCGCCAACCAAGAATGAGCAAGGATACGACCAACTGAAAGAGAGCCGAGATCAGGGTCAGTGCGCATCGTCTTTGTTCTTTTTGACAAAGAATTAAAAATGGTGTGGGTGGATTGTCACTGAAGCGAGGTACTTGCATGTGTGAATTGCCTCGTTCGAGTCGACCAAGTTGTGTGTGATGGTGATGATGATGAGATAGCAAGCAAGTTTGGGCGCGCTTTTGGCCGACCAACGCGTCTTGAATCAATGAATGGCAATCTTTGTTTGGATTGTAATTGTCGAGGACCTATCAAATACTGTCAATCCCAAGGGTCTGCAGCAGAGGTTGCATCGAACTGCTTGCACCCACCATCAGCAGAGGCGAAACAAATGGGATGGAAGCGACGGGACGAGGAGAAATACGAGACCTCCCCCGCATCTCAACAACCTTGGCCATCTACATACTACATACTACATACATACATACATACATACATACATACATACATACATACATACATACATACATACATACATACATACATACATACATACCTTCTTCGTCGTCATTCATTGTTCATGGCCGGTCTTGAGTTATAGATTATATGGATCACACACATCCTTGGATGCTTGATACCCTTGGGCGGCTGACAATAAATGACATTGGCGCTGATAATGGGGCTCAACAAAGAGACTCTAACAGGATCACCCTTGCATGTGAAGCATCGTGATTTTCCTCATGCCGCCTCCGATCTCTAGCATATTAGAGTTTGTATTGAATGAGACCAGAAAAGTGAAAAGTGCTTAAGCAGTACATACGGCACTTTAACTCTTTTCAGCTGAGAGCTGAAGGCTAAGCCTGTAAGTAAACCGCTTGAAGTTTATCGCCATGGATCCAATGCTATCCGGGTTCTGGAATCTCTGGCATAGGGACGTCCGTGCCCTTCCATTTATCAACGTACATAGGTATCTGTAGAGTACTGCCAGATATCCTTCAGTGTTGATAAGCCCCGAGATGTATACTTTGTAGTATGTCGATCAAAGTGAGCTGTCTCACATGAATCAAATCAAGTAGGTACTCAGTGTAAACAGAGGCTTAAAAAACACGAGAAGCAGAAATATTCCGTTACGCCAAAACGGTCCCGTCCTGCAGGGCGTTGTACCTAAACTCCATTGCAGCTGTCATAAGTATAGTACCTAAGCATCTTTAGCTTTGGGCTGTTTTGGTGGATGGGCATTGTACTGTAGATCAAATTGGGCCCAAGACATTGACATCCAATGCATGGCTAATAAGGTACTTACTAACTTACTTTATGTACCTACCTACTGTTGAAGACAGCCATGGCCATTGAACAATGTGCCTCGTGTCTCATGGCTCATGTAATGGCTCAAACGCTGATAACAGCCTCAGCCTGTGAACCAAGATTTATTACGGTGGATTGACTAACCTGCTCTCAATTAACTAAGGTAGTCTAGTTTAGGTAATCAATCATCGGCTAGCAAGCAGATCCTTGCTCCATCATCAATAGTTTCAGCTGTCAATGGGTTTTCCTGCTGTACGGACCAATATGGAGTACTTCCAGACGGACGTCGAAATAGCGCAACGCAAGGTAACCACAACCACATTCACATTCACATTCGGCTCAACG